CGCACTGACTGCGGGAGAAATCTTGGAGTGCGTAGATTTGGCTCGCAGGAGCGCGTGCCCTTTCGAGCGCGTTTCTTTATGTTCGGCGATGACGGGCGTCATGGTGGGGGGGATGACGCGGGGGGGTATGACGTGACGCCCCCCCCCGACATGTGGCTCCGGCACCACAGCCGCGCCCGCGCGCACGACGCGACGAGCGACGAGCAACGAGCGACGACGACGACTGGAGCAGCATGTAAATGGCGATCTGCCCATTGCGCCTGCGTACACCACAACGTTCGCGTGCACCACGCCGCGCAAGTGCACCACAGCGCCTGCGTACACCGCAACAGCCGTGCGCAACGCACCGCCCGCGTATACCACAATACTTGGGAGCACTACAGCGCTGGTGTACATACACCGCAACAGCCATGTGCAACACAACGCCTGTGTACACTACTGTGCTTGCGTGCACCGCGGCGCCCGTGTACGCCACAGCGCCTGTCTACACCACAACATCCGCGTGCAACGCAGCGCCGGTGTACACCACAGTGCCTGCGTGCATACGACAGGTAGAAGGAGCATGTACGTCAGGATCTGCTGCGGACAAGTAAACGCCACGCCAGGAAAGTTCTGATAATCGAATGCGACGTTTTTCCCTCCTCCCTCCTCCTCCACCTCCTTTTCCTCCTCCTCCTCCTCCTCCTCCTCCTCCTCCTCCTCCTCCTCCTCCTTATCCTCCTTTTTACCCCCTGTCGTGCGGCTTGGCGTTACGACGCACGTGCGCATCTCAGCGTGCACCGCACAATGGTCGATTGAATCGGTCCACTTGGTTCTCGGACGGCCAGTCTAGCTGGAGCCTCCTGGACGCAAATGGGAGTTAGGGTGATGCGGGCGGACTCGGGGAGACTCGTGGATTCCAGCGGCACTCCTTCGTCCATGAGGATTTGTTTTCCATTATTCTCCCTGGAATCCACACGCGCTCCATTTTGTCACAAGGATTCCTTCTGAAACTCTATACACAACAATGGTGCTGTGTTGCGCACGGCTGATGTGGTGCACGCACGCGCCGTGGCGCACACCACACAGGCACTGCAATGCACGCAGACATTGTGGTGTACACTGGTGCTGTGTTGCGCACGGCAAATGTGGTGTACGGAGGCGCTGTGGTGTACACAGGAGCTGCTGTGCCCGCAGGCACGGTGGCACAAACTGACGCTGTGTTGCAGGCGGCTGCTGTGGTGTACATCGGCGGCGTGGTGTACAGAAGCGCTGTGGTGCACGCGGGCACTGTGATGTACACAGGCTTTGTGGTGCATATCGCCACCTACATGTTCGTGCTACCCGTCCTCCGTCATTTCTAAACATTCCCAGACGCCGCCGGCGCGAAACGTGACGTCATCGACCCCCTCCCCCCCCAAATGATTGCCGTCATCGGCCCGGACTTAAAAACAGGCTCCAGCCACGTCCGCGCGCACGACGACGATGAGCGACGAGCGACGAACCACGAGCGACGACGACGGACGACGACGACGACGAGGAGGACGAGGACGAGGACGAGGACGACGACGACGCCTGCGGACCAGATACCTATGCGGATTCCTACGCGGACACCTACGCGGATCCCATTGCGCACGCTGGCAGTGCCCGGAGCGCACTGGGGGGGGGAGCGTTACGTCATAGGGGAACGGAGGGGGGGAGCGGGGGCCATGACGCCCGTCATGCCCCAAGCAATAAAGAAACGGGCTCTTTGAAAAACAGTTCCTGCAACGCTGCTAGAGCGGAAAAAGGGCTTGAGCCAAAATGGTTACGGAGCCCCCCGAGCGAATTGACAGGGGGACATGCCAGGAGGACGCGCCGCGGAACGCCCCGAGGGCCGCGCCAAGCAACGTCTCGGGGGATGTGCCATGGGAACGCACGGCGGGACGTGCCAAAGGGACGCACTACGGACGTGGCAGTGGACGTGCCACGGGACGTGCCAGGGGACCGCGCGACGTGCCAAGGGGACTCGCCACGGGACGCGCCAGGTTGCAACGCTGAATGTATCGATCTTGATGTACCGTGCCGAGGGCTGTGCTGTGCTGCGCCGTGCTGAATTACGATGTGCCATGCCGCGATTGTGCTCTACAGCGTTGTGGATCGAGTCCTCCTTTGCTTCCGAGTCCTGACCGAACTGAACTGGATCTTAAGCTCGGGCTGCCTGAGCACAGAGTAGCTGCCCCTGAGCTAATTGACAAGGGGACATGCCAGGAGGACGCGCCGCGGAACGTCCCAAGGGACGCGCCAGGCGACGTGCCAGGGGACGTGCCATGGGGACATCCTCGGAATTCCTGCGCGCGGGACACTTTTCCGCGTCGCGGTCGGGGCTCCAAACTTAGTTTTTTGTTGAAGATTCCGCGCAAAACACGCCGCACCGTTTTTTTATCAAGAAAACGGTGGTGTGCGGACCCCGCTGCCGTTATTTATCAAGGATCCGAGATGAGGGGCAAACTTTCTTCGAGCGGGCACGCGAAAAAAAAGCTTGTTGAACTCAAACTTTATACTTCGTTCGAAATATATCACGAATAATTCCGCTGGCCCTAGAGCCGTCGGGGCCGGGGGATTAACATACTAAAAGAGAACCCTGAGCCCACGCCCTTTCCGGGAAAATGATTTTGCTGCCCCTACGCGACCTCGTTATTTATCACAAATAATGTCGCCGGCCCTACAACCGTCGATTCCAGGGGTAGACCTCTAAAGGAGAAACCTGGGCTCAGGCCAGTTCCGGGAATAATTCCGCTGGCCCTTTTCCTACCTCGCTATGCCGCAAATAATTTCGCCGGCCCTCTTCCCGTCGATTCCGGGGGTAAACACCTAAAAGAGAACCCTTGGCTGGAGCCTTCCTGGGGAAAAACCTGGGGCGCGCGAGCCGACCGACAAAAACAAACCGACCCGACCCCGAAGGAAACCGCCACGGCAAGCATGATCGACCCACGAACCCAGACAGGAATATAGAAATGTAAGGCATGGCGAAGATTCAAAGACACCTGATTGGGCGACGGGCAAATGCAATGCTGAATGTATTGATCTTGGTGTTCCGTGCCGAGGGCTGTGCTGTGCTGCGCTGTGCTGAATTGCGATGTGCCATGCCTCGATTGTGCTCTACAGCGTTGTGGATCGAGTCCTCCTTTGCATCCGAGTCCTGACCGAACTGATATTGATCTTAAGCTCGAGCTGCCTGAGCACATAGTAGCTGCTCCTGAGCTAATTGACAGGGGGACATGCCAGGAGGACGCGCCGCGGAACGTCACAAGGGACGCGCCAGGCGACGTGCCAGGGGACGTGCCATGGGGACGCACCGCGGGACGTGCCAAGGGGACACGCTACGGAACGTGCGACCTGGACACGTGAAAACAAGCGTTTCGCTCAAGACATTCTCGACACATCCTCATGCTAGACATCCGCCTGGGCACCCTGGACACGTGCGAACAAGCGTCTCGCTCGAGACCTCAACAAATACTCATGCTAGACATCTGCCTGGGCAACATGGACGCGTGAAACCAAGCGTCTCGCTCGAGACATCCTCAAGACCTGGGCACGTGAAAGCAAGCATTTCACTTGAGAGATCCTCTGAATTCTTGTCCCTAGGAGAGAACAATCAAGAACACAAAACAAGCGTTTCGCTCAAGACATCCTCAACAAGATCTGCAACACATGCGTTTCGATCGGGACATCCTCAAATTTAAATTCGCCAGCCCTCTTCGACTTCGCCATTTATCACAACACAAATTGCCGGCCCTCTTCGAACTTGGCAACAAGGATAGGTTTACCACCTAAAAGAGAACCCTGGGCCAGAACCCTTGCCGGGAACAAGCGTTTCGCTTGAGACATCCGTAGCATTTCTGTGCGCAGGACGCGCCATCCTCGAGCGGGCACATAACAAAATCAGCATTGACAATTTTTGTTGTCCTGATCGGGGCTCCAAACCTAGATTTTTTTTTCCGGGGATTCTGGCAAATGCCCGGTACCTCCTTTTTTACAAGGAAAACGACGGTCCGCGGACCCTGTCATTTATCGAGGATCCGAAATGGGGAGCGCACTTTCCTCGAGCGGGCGCGCGCGAAACGCTTATTGCCCACGCCGAATCGGACTTTACATAGTTTTTGATCGAACGGAAATCCACTGGCCCCCTTCAAAAGTGGTCCTAAGGACAGGTTTACCTACTAGAAGAATACCCTGGGCCTAAGCCCTTTCCAGGAACATGATCGACCCACGAAACCGGAAAGGAATATAGAAACGTAAGGCATGGCAAAAGTTCAAAGACACCTGATTTGACGGCGGACAAATGCAATGCTGCGTGTATCGATCTTGGTGTTCTGAGCCGAGGGCTGTGCTGTGCTGCACCGTGCTGAATTGAGATGTGCCATGCCGCGAGTGTACTCTATATAGCGTTGTGGATCGAGTCCTCTTGGCTTCCGAGTCCTGACCGAACTGATCTGGATCTTAAGCTCGAGCTGCCTGGGCACACAGTAGCTGCCCCATAGCTAATTGACAGCGGGACATGCCAGGAGGACGCGCCGCGGCACGTCCCAAAGGACGTTCCAAGCGACGTGCCAAGGGACGTGTTATGTGGACGCACCGCGGGACGTGCCAAGGGGACGCGCTACGGAACGTGCCAATGGACGTGCCACGGGACGTGCCAAGGGACGCGCCGCGCGACGTGCCAAGGGAACTCGCCGAAATGAGGAGAACGAGGGGGAACTACGAAGGGCGGAGATGAGGGAGGGAGAGGAGGAAGGGAAGAAAACCTTCTATTAATAGAGTTCTGGATTCTACGTGGGCCTCGCACGCGCCCCGAAAGGGCGCGAGGCCCAGGCAGAGAGAAGAGCGGCAGCCACCACCGACACGGCGGCGACGACGCGTGTCGACGGCGACGGCGAGGAGGGCAGGGCGAACAAAAAACGGGAGGCCCCAAGCACGGCCTCGCCGCGCGGCCCGCGGGCCTGGCACGAGAAGGGTGCGCCCCCCCGCCCCGAGCGCACCTGTCGACCCAGTACTCCGGCTCCAAGAAGTCCTGTGCGACACGGCGGAAGGGAGCGGTCACGAGCAGCGAGCATGTCCGTATCCGCGTCTGCGCGGTCTGGACTCTAGGGCGCGATCCCGCGGATAGGGGGTCGCAGGGATACGTTCCTCGCGGAGCAGCTGGGAACAAAACGCCCCATATCCGCGGGGTCGCGGCGGAGGGGCCCGGCCTGCGAGCCCGCGGATACGGATGTGTTTCCGCTCACGAGATAGGGGGGAGAGATAGGAGGTCGGGGACGCAGCTTCAAACAGCCTTCGCAAGAAACCCAGCTCTGACAAGCCGCGCGCGCGAGATGCACCGAGCACCCTGAACGTTTCTTCTTTTACAGCCACGGGAAGTCACCGCGCAGCGCGCGGAGCTAAGAACCCAGACGGAAAGCATATTATCCCCTTCTCGATATTCATATGATATAGCACCCTGCGACCACCCCCTCCCTAAGCAAGACCCCTCCGGATCCTTGGCCTCAAGGGCACCCTGGACGCCCTTGCAGACGGTCCCCTTTGCTTTCCGCTCTCCTGAAGCTCCTGCTGGGCCTAGGCAGCAGGCCCAAATCAGTCAGGAGGGCGACGGGACGGCCCCGCGAGAGCCCAGAGGCCCCAAACACCCACCAGATGCCTGAAGACAGCCCAAAGAAGACCCCCAAGAGGCAATCGAAACGCAACATGATCGACCCACGAACCCGGAAAGGAATATAGAAACGTAAGGCATGGCAACGTCTCAAAGACACCTGATTGGGCGACGGGCAAATGCCATGCTGAATGTAGCGATCCTGATACACATATATATATATATATATATATATATTACTGTGCCGAGGGCTGTGCAGTGCTGCGCCGTGCTGAATTGCGATGTGCCATGCCGCGAGTGTACTCTATATAGCGTTGTGGATCGAGTCCTCCTGGCATCCGAGTCCTGACCGAACTGGTCTGGATCTTAAGCTCGAGCTGCCTGAGCACACAGTAGCTGCCCCATAGCTAATTGACAGCGGGACATGCCAGGAGGACGCGCCGCGGCACGTCCCAAAGGACGTTCCAGGCGACGTGCCAGGGGACGTGCCATGGGGACGCACCGCGGGACGTGCCAAGGGGACGCGCTACGGAACGTGCCAATGAACGTGCCACGGGACGTGCCAAGGGACGCGCCGCGCGACGTGCTAGGTGGACTCGCCACGGAACGCGCCAAGGAACGTGCCAAAGTGCAATGTTGAGTGTATCGATCTTGATGTACCGTGCCGACGGCTGTGCTGTGCTGGGCCGTGCTGAACTGCGATGCGCCTTGCCGCAATTGTGCTCTATATAGCGTTGTGGATCGAGTCCTCTTGGCATCCGAGTCCTGACCGAATTGATCTGGATCTGAAGCTCGAGCTGCCTGAGCAGATGGTAGCTGCCCCAGAACTAATCGACAGGGGGACATGCCAGGAGGACGCGCCGCGGAACGTCCCAAGGGACGCGCCAGGCGACGTGCCAGGGACGTGCAACGGGGACGCACCGCGGGACGTGCCAAGGGGACGCGCTACGGAACGTGCCAATGGACGTGCACCGCGCGACGTGCCAGGGGGACTCGCCACGGGACGCTCCGCGGAACGTGCCAAGCAACATGCCAAGCTGCAATGCTAAGTGTATCGATATTGATGTACCGTGCCGAAGGCTGTGCTGCGCCTGGGCGACCCGGACACGTGAAAACACGTGTTTCGCTCAAGAAGTTCTCAGCACATCCTCATGCCAGACATCTGCCTGTGCAACCTGGACACGTGCAAACAAGCATCTCGATCGAGACTTCCTCGACACATCCTCATGCTAAACATCTGCCTGGGCGACCTGGACACGTGAAAACAAGTCTCTGGTTCGAGACATCCTCAACAAATCCTCATGCCAGACATCTGTCTGGGCAACCTGGAGGCGTGAAACCAAGCGTCTCGCTCGAGACATCCTCAAGACCTGGGCACGTGAAAGCAAGCATTTCACCTGAGACATCCACCGATTTCTGGTCCCCAGGAGAGGACAATATATAACACATAACAAACGTTTCGCTCGAGACATCCTCCACAAATTCTGAAACAGGATCGACCCACGAACCCAGAAAGGAATATAGAAATGTAAGGCATGGCAACGCTTCAAAGACACTTGATTGGACGACGGGCAAACGCAATGCTGAGTGTATCGACTTTGACGTACCGTGCCGAGGGCTGTGCTGTGCTGCGCCGTGCTGAAGTTGCGATGTACCATGCCGAGATTTTGCCCTATAGCGTTGTGGATCGAGTCCTCCTTTGTTTCCGAGTCCTGACCGAACTGATTTGGATCTTAAGCTCGAGCTGCCTGGGCACATAGTAGCTGCCCCAGAGCTAATTGACAGGGGGCACGCGCCAGGCGACGTGCCGGGGGACGTGCAACGGGGACGCACCACGGGACGTGCCAAGGAGACGCGCTACAGAACGTGCCAATGAACGTGCCACGGGACGTGCCAGGGGACGCGCCGCGCGACGTGCCAGGGGGACGCGCCACGGAACGTGCCAGGGAACGTGCCAGGTTGCAATGCTGAGTGCATTGGGGTCGCGCTCCCAGGGCCCCGACCCCTTGTAAATTACGCTGCGTCCGCGCTCCCAGGGCCACGATCCCTCGTACATTACGCTGCGTCCGAGCCCCGAGGGCCCCGATCCATCGTATTTTGCGGTGCGCCCGCGCTCCAAGGGCTACGACCCCTCGTAAATTACATTGCGTCCGAGCTCCCAAGCCCTCATAAATTACGCTGCGCCCGCGCTCCGAGGGCCACGATCCCCCGCAAATTACGCGTGGTCCGCGCTCCAAACGCCACGATCCTTCGAATATTACGCCGCGTCCGCGCTCCCAGGGCCTCCTGGTGCATGCCGGGGCGCCCAGGTCCCTCAACTTTTGCTGAACAAGCGTTTCGCTGGCGACATCCTCGATTTTTTTTGCGCGGGGGGGCGCACAATCCTCGAGCGGGAATCCTGGAACAACAAGCGAATTAGTCGAGACTTCCTCGAAATTCCTGCGCGCGGGACGCGGCACGCGCGAGACATCATCGGAATTCCTGCGCGCGGGGCGCTTTTCCGCGTCGCGGTCGGGGCTCCTGACCTTTTTTTTTTTTTCTCGAAGATTCTGCTGACAATGCCCCGCACCGTCTTTTCCACGAAGGAAAACGGGGGTCTGCGGACCCAGTTATTAATCGAGGATCGGAGGTTGGGGGTCGACTTTCCTCGAACGGGCACGCGCGAAACGCATTTTTTTCACGCCGAATTGAGTTTATCTCGTTTTTTGTTTTCATCGAGCGGAAATCTGCCGGCCCTCTTCGGGGGGGGGATCAACCAACTAAAAGAGAACCCTGGGCCCGAGCACTTTCCGGGAAAACACGTTTCGCTCGAGACATCCTCAAAAATAATTTCGCCGACCCTAAACGACCTCGTTATCTATCGCAAATAATTTCGCCGGCCCTGCAGCTGTCGGCTCCGGAGGTCAACAGCTAAACGAAAACCCTGGGCCTCCGCCCTGTCCGGGAAACAAAAACTGAATAGCAGTGTTTGGTGGGCTTATGGCCTCCAAACCATGCTATTCACATGTTCTTTTGTTTTTTTGTTGGTCGGCGGTGCCACAAAACACTGCCATTCACAGATTTGATTGGTTTTGCGGGTTTTCACCAGATCCGGTATACTTTCGTCGCGAGGCAATCTCTGGAATCTTTGAAAGCCACAAAAACCATAACATGATCGACCCACGAACCCGGAAAAGAATATAGAAATGTACGGCATGGCAACGCTTCAAAAACACCGGATTGGACGACGGGCAAATGCAATGCTGAGTGTATCGGCCTTGATGTACCGTGCTGAGGGCTGTGCTGTGCTGCGCCGTGCTGAAGTTGCGATGTACCATGCCGAGATGTTGCCTGACAGCGTTGTGGATCGAGTCCTCCTTTGTTTCCGAATCCTGACCCAACTGATATGGATCTTGAGCTCGAGCTGCCTGGGCACACAGTAGCTGCCCCAGAGCTAATTGACAGGGGGCACGCGCCAGGCGACGTGCCAGGGGACGTGCAACGGGGACGCACCGCGGGACATGCCAAGGAGACGCGCTATGGAACGTGCCAATGGACGTGCCACGGGACGTGCCAGGGGACGCGCCGCGCGACGTGCCAGCGGGACTCGCCGCGGGACGCGCCACGGCACGTGCCAGGGAACGTGCCAGGTTGCAATGCTGAGTGCATTGGGGTCGCGCTCCCAGGGCCCCGACCCCTTGTAAATTACGCTGCGTCCGCGCTCCCAGGGCCACGATCCCTCGTACATTACGCTGCGTCCGAGCCCCGAGGGCCCCGATCCATTGTATTTTGCGGTGCGCCCGCGCTCCAAGGGCTACGACCCCTGCGCTCGAGCTCCCAAGGCCCCGACCCCGCATAAATTACGCTGCGCCCGCGCCCCGAGGGCCACGATCCCCCGCAAATTACGCATGGTCCGCGAACCAAACGCCACGATCCCTTGCATATTACGCCGCGTCCGCGCTCCCAGGGCCTCCTGGTGCATGCCGGGGCGCCCAGGTCCCTCAACTTTTGCTGAACAAGCGTTTCTCTCGGTCGCCCACCGAGCTGCCACTGAGGAGCCCGCCGTGACCGATGGGCTCGCCATGCTGTCGAACTTCGAGCCACTGCTGAGCTAGCTGTTTTGCTTCTCGTTCCTGCCGAGCGCTTTCTGATGCTCCAGGGCCAGGTGCCTGGGGCGCCCCTGCGACTGCCGCAGGCTGTGGAGTCGCTGCTGCTGCCGAACTCGATGCTGCCCCTGACTAAATGCTGCTGCCGCGCTCGATGCTGCTGCCGTACTCGACGCTGCTGCTAATCCTGGCTCGGCCCCGGGAACGGATGGCATTGCCTCGTTCCCAATCGGGGCGATCGTCGCCGTCGGCTTGGTCAGCGAAAGCCTCCTCTTTTTCCTTAGTCCGAACGTGCGTCCTTTCATGTGCACTGGCACCTTCCCTCGTCCTCGGTCGGCG